ATGAATTTATTATGATATGTATTTTATTTTAATTGAATTTATTAGTTTAGGTGTTATTTTTAGAATTTTAAATTTTAGCTTTAAAAAGTTTGGTTAATCGGTTAACCGACCGATTAACCGAAAAAAATTTCGGTTCGGTGAATTCGGTAGAACAAACTTCGGTTCGGTTAACGGTTAAAGAAAAAAAACTTCGGTTAATTCGGTTCGGTTAATCGAACGATTAACCGATTGAACACCCCTAGGAAGAACGGTAACTCATTTTGACAAAAAATTTACTAATAAAAAGTACATCGAGTCTAGATTGTGCATAAAATTTTTTAGGCCAATCCAAGGTCTAGAAGTATTTTTTTTAAAATTTTTCCCAACACTGCGCTAGACAGAAAAATAACTGACAGCACATTGCCAAAACATTACAAAATTTTTCTGGAACAACCAAAGTATATTTTTAACAAAATCGTTTTACAGACATCAAATACCACAAGTCTAGTTTCTCCAGAAAAATTTCACGCCAAAAGGAGTTCAACAATTATTTTTCATGAATTTTGCTTTCAAACTGCGCCAATCAGAATTTTTCAGGCAATGATTACTATGTGTGAAGATCATTCTTCTAGACACCTTAAAGTCACAATAAATAGACTTTTGAAATATGACCATATAAGTTGTTTTAGTGCGATTATCACATAATTAGTGTTAAAGATTTGCCTTCCGGGCAAAACTACATTTAAAAATCAGTCTATATATAGTCTCATATATAAGGCGTGAGATACCTCTCAATATTCATGACATTTATCAAAGAACTAACAGTTTGACACCATCAAGTGTAAGTTCAACAAATAGTGTATGTTCAAAAACAAAATAATAAAATGGATACCTGGCAATGTGCCTTCGATATGTTGTGTTTGTAGCTCGTAGCATTACTGTGCAAATTAGCCGTGCTACCACCATGTAAGGTATCAGGTAAAGCCTCAGGATTACCGACAACAAACGAATTATTAGCCAAGGCAACATTATTATAATTATTAGGAGGCATTGCCGTAGAATTATCAGGAACTAAGGAATCTTATGTACGCAGATTTATGACTCATGTTATCAGTAATCTATGTATCAATCATGCAATAAACATATCATGTACATTAATATCCCACTTTAGGTGCAAAACTTTGGTCATTCTTCCACCAGAAAGTAAATTATACGTATGCAAATTATATGTATGCAAATAAACAAGCAGATTATACTTCTTCTAATAATCGGGATTAGAAACAAAATTAATATTGAGTAATATTTTTGGTTTCAGCCATTGGAATATAGTAATTCATTGTTTCCAAATACGCTGTAAAAATTTTGTAAAAATTAATTGTTTACAAATAGGCAGTCAAGATATACATATGCATATAAATTTATTTTTGAAATTTTGGTTAGAGTTTCGAAATACCAAGATTCTATTCACGAATCAATATTTTTGGTCCATTGTTTTGAAATACAAGTTTTTTATATATAAAAAAAAAATTATGTGTATTTCAAAAAATTTATTTAGAAAACATATTCATATATGCATATCGGAGAAAAGAAAAACAGAAATATATGCTACTGTTGCAAATATGTATACTACCAGGAAGCATATAATCATATTATCAAAATTCACAAATTCAGAAAAACATCATAAACATATGCGATTTAGGCATAAAAAAAAAATTACCGTTCACCAGGGTGTATTGAGCGTGCTGATAACGTGTTGAATTGCAAGTTTGTTTCCAGGCCTTTAGCTCGTGAAGAACAGTAATAAGGAATAATAATAACAAGAAGACTTGTTAGGGGGGCCTTAGGGTTGGGGCTCAACCGTTTGGAAAGAAGACGAAGAAAGAACAGAGAAAAGTAATTCTTATTATCATCATCCATCTTTACAACATTACAATGGTATATATAATCTCTATCATAATAGCCTTTAGAACTCTTACAACATTAGGAATCTTACAATATTAAGAATCCTATCATCAATATGAAGCCATAATAATGTCCGATTTTACAACAAATATAATAAAAGTGGAATATGATTCGTGGTATAATGATTCAATCATTATTGTGTGGCTCATGGTCCACACAAGCTGTGTGCATCATATTTTATATACTATAAAATAATGTACATTTAGTTCAAAAATAAAAGTACTTTGTATTTAGAGAAATCACATTATTTGAATACTAAAAGTACATTATTTTATATAATGTATATTCAGTATACAAATAATGTACTTTTAATATATTAAAAATGTACTTTCTTTTATGGTCTATAAAACACTATGTGGACCGTGATCCACACAATAATTTGCCATAATGATTGAACTGTTTTTGGAAGACCATTTGAATGAGTTTCAACTAGAACCTAGAGATATAAAAGTTCAATGAGAATAGTGTGCTTGGAGGCTTAGAGCATTCCAACTATTTACCATCTATCTTTTTTTTTTTTGAAAGGTATTTACCATCTATCTAATTGCCCTAATGTCAATATTAAAAAGCCCGCCAAAATACGAGTCTAAAATAGGTCAATTTGGGCAAATTATGCTGTGCATCCGTATGCACCATGCATAGTGCATACGGATGCAAAAACGACGTCGTTTTAATAAAACGTGCGTCTCCCCTTAAAAAAAAAATCAGGTTTGATTCCCAGCAACAACATATGAACTAAAATTCCATAATCGATGAACTATAATTCCATAATCGATGAACTATAATTCCATAATCTAATCTATGAACTAAAAATTCCAGAATGAATGAACTAAAATTCCATAATCTATAAACTAAAATTTCAGAATCGATGAACTACAATTCCATAATCGATGAACTATAATTCCATAATCTATGAACTAAAATTCCAGAACGAATGAACAATATAATGTTGTTGCTGGGAATCGAACCTGAATTTTTTTAATAAAACGACGTCGTTTTGGCATCCGTATGCACCATGCATGGTGCATACGGATGCACAGCATAACGATTGGTCAATCTGTCTCATCTTAGGCTTGCGGGTTTTGACGGGCTGGGGCCCGTCAAATTTAAAAAGTTTCAAATTTAAATAAAAATTAATATGAAAAAGTTAAAATAATTTGAATAGTTTAAACATATATTAATGCATTTGTACTTTGTTGAACACAATAATAACTAATATCTAGTATCTACCATAATGGTTAGAAAAAATGTCCATCAAATTACTAAATCAAAAGAATGGTTCAGATTGTTCAGATTTTTAATTGTTCATGATATTTCTTAATTTATCCTTAATTATATGATTATCCGTTAACTTTTTTATTAAATATTATATTCTCCGTTAATATTATTATAATTCCCGTTAATAGAACTCTAAACCACGAATCCTTATAGAATTATAACTACATCATTAGTCTAATTCTAATATTAAAGTCTTAATAGCACTCTAACCCACAAATCCTTATAGAATTATTCTTTTCAATCCTTATCCTTATAGAATTATAACTATATCATTAGTCTATATATTAAGTCATTGCTCACTGGTTAGAAGTACAAAACTAAATTATTCTGCAACACAACATCAACGAGGAATTCTGCAACACAACATCAATGGGGAATTCTATGATGCACAACATCAACGAGGAATGCAGGCATGTATATATATTTAATATCTCATGCCTTAATCTTTATTTGCTCTACCTTATGTCCCGTATTTGATTTCAACCATACCCATACAATTATTTTATTGACAATTATAATCAATCTTGACTATATTATCTTGCATTCGTAAACTTAGAATTACCTATTTAAATACGCAAATTCAAATTCAATTATCTATGTATGAACAACTCCAATATAATATTGCATTGATATACTTTAAATTATTAATTTCATTATTTGTCTTGGATATACTTTAAAGTATTTATGTGACAATAAACATAGAGCATTATCTCAATCGCGCAATGCGTGTGAAAGACTAGTATAGTAATAAGTCATAATAAATAATCAAATACATAATGTGTGAATCTACAAGGCAATAGCAAATAATTTATACAATGTTTACTTACTAATACATTTTTTCAATATAAATAAATAAATGAACATATATTTATATATATAATTATATATATATATATATATATATATATATATATATATATATACACACACACTAATATTAATAATGTATACATATTAGGCGGGCTTGGTGGCCCCCGCCGGCCTGGCCCTCCAAAGCCCGTCATTTTGACGGGGGTGAGCTAAAAAGCCCGTCAAAATACGGGCATTAAAATTCAAAGCAAAGTCGGGTAGGACAGGCTAAGCCCGTTTTGACGACTCTACTCCACATAAACATTTGCACCAGCAATTCAGGGTTGTGAATAACAAGGTGATGCTGTTTGCAACCCCAAATTAAGTTAAATATAAGGACATTTTGATTTTTTTTAACAAATTGAGTTGACCTGCTATATTTTTTTTATTTGTTTTTTAAAATTAATAATTAGAAACCTAAATGCTATTTTATTTATCCAAACAATTTGGTTGATGGATGACAAAAAATAGTCATGTGATAATAATACTGACCGAAGAAAATATTCTTAAAAAAAAAACTAAAAATAGATTAACACTTATAAATTTAGGACCAAAAATAAAATTAAGTCCTAATTTGTATATATAATCTTATTATTTTATTTATAGTCGGATTTCCTGAGCATTCCATATTTCCATGTTAGTGAAAATGCCAGAAATAAAATTTAAAATTGCTGCGCAGCATAGTGGAGTCCAACCCTGTATTGGGCCCCATCGAACCCACTGGGCTCTCGCTGACGGTGTTAGTAAAATCATCCAACGGTTAAATGCCAACTAGGAGTCGGAATCTGACGGCGCTTAAAGCCTAATTTCAAATTTAGTCCCTTTTCCGTAAATATATCCTGATCCATGCCCATTTTCCTGAAAACCCTGCCCCGCTATCTACCTATTTAAAGCCCTCTTGTATCTTCTCCATTTCAATTCAAAACCTAAACGGCTAAACCTCTGAGTTCACTCCCTCAATATTAGGTTTCTGCAGATACAACGTCTCCTGTATCTGTTCTCGATTTTAGCGCATCTACATACATCTATAGTGTGTGTATTGCTCTCTGATTTTTTTTTGGATTCAGCAATTCGAAGATGTCGCTGAGGCCGAATGCTAGAGTCGAGGTTCGCCGGAACCGTTACAAGGTGGCCGTCGACGCGGATGAGGGCCGCCGCAGGAGAGAGGACAACATGGTGGAGATTCGTAAGAACAAGAGGGAGGAGAGCTTGCAGAAGAAGCGCCGTGAAGGACTTCAAGCCAATCAGCAATTTCCTCTTCCAGTCCAGAACGAAAAGAAGGTATAGATGAAATACAAATTAATGTTCGTATCACTGCTATTTTGATCTAGATCCTGATATGGTTGTTCAAGTATATGAGTTGGAATCTGTTATACTGCTAAATTCTACTATTTTGCAGTTGGTATTGAGTATCTCAATTTGTCTGTGTTTTCTCACGTTTTTGGAAGCGAAATATTTTTGTATTTTCTCGATCTGTCAATGTCCTTGATTTCTTATTTTTGCAGTATTGTTTTATTAGAGTGAATATCTGAATACACTTCTGTTTTATTTTGTTCTGCTGAATATTTGAATTACAATGCCAGACATACCTTATAAACTTATTTGGAAGGTTGTAAAATTCCTAAAATGCCTTGATTTTGCAGCTGGATGCTCTGCCTGCAATGGTAGCTGGTGTTTGGAGTGATGATGGCAATTTGCAGCTTGAGGCAACTACTCAGTTTAGAAAATTGCTTTCATTAGGTGATCAATGTTAATGTTTTTTTTTTTTTTTTTTGCTCCCCAATTTGTTGCTGAGATTATGGACATGACATGTTTTCATGATTCATCAGAAAGGAGTCCTCCAATTGACGAAGTAATTCAAGCAGGGGTTGTTCCTAGGTTTGTCCAATTTCTTGCAAGGGATGACTTTCCACAACTTCAGGTATGCCTATTATTCTTTTGTTTCTCGTTTTAGGTGGAGCATTTAATTTTTAATGGCTTTGTTCCTTATTGTTTTGTTTGATTTTGTAAAACCACTCCAGTTTGAGGCAGCATGGGCTCTCACTAATATTGCCTCTGGGACATCTGAGCACACTAGGGTGGTAATTGATTCTGGAGCAGTCCCAATCTTTGTGAAGCTTCTTAGTTCTCCTAGTGATGATGTCCGGGAACAGGTGTGCTGGAAGAAACTATTGTTTTTCCTCTTTTGTTCACTGTTTGCCTTGCTTCACTTGTGTGCTTATGGTTTGTTACTTGTACACCATTAAATATAGTCACTGTTTGCTTGTATATAGGCCGTATGGGCTTTGGGCAATGTAGCTGGTGATTCTCCCAAATGTAGGGATCTTGTCCTAAGCGCGGGAGCTTTATCCCCCTTGCTGGCTCAGTTAAATGCGAATGCAAAGCTGTCAATGCTGAGAAATGCCACATGGACACTCTCAAATTTCTGCAGAGGCAAGCCACAGCCTCCTTTTGAACAGGTTAATCCTTTTCCTAGCTCTTTCCATGTATCCTTTGACAAGTAAAAGTGAGTTCAGATGTGAACTGCTTAGAATTGCTTTGTATACTGATTATATTCTGTTTTTATGGTTCGTTTCTGTCTTGAACCAATGCCACCTTATTTCCTTTTATATAAGGTCAGAAGAAGGCCTTTTGATGGCTAGATACATAGCACATGTTTCTTCTGTTATAATAGCCTGTGATTTTCACATACAGAACTTACAAGTGTAAAGATTTCATAATAATGTTGAGACTGATATGGTATTCAATAATATCTTTTTTGGGGTTATAGGCTTTGTTGTTTTCAAATATCTTATTTGGAAATATATTTTCTTCCCTTGTGAAAACAAAAACAATCTTAGGATTGATGATGGTTTCTCATGTTTTATTATTTTATATACTGGGATTTGTGGAACATTTTTCAATTTCAAATGATGCTTTCAACTTCCAAAATCTTATGCTTATTTATATCTTGTGTTTCTGTACAGACTAGGCCAGCACTTCCAGCACTTCAGCAACTTATACATTCAACCGATGAAGAAGTTGTTACCGATGCATGTTGGGCTCTCTCGTATCTATCTGATGGTACAAATGATAAAATTCAAGCTGTTATTGATTCTGGCGTGTGTTCACGATTGGTGGAGTTGTTACAGTGAGTATCTTGATTCAAGTCCTCTATTGGTGAAACTGTCTTTTCCAAGGTGCAATTTCCAGCATTCATATTGTCATATGACACGCTTCTGATGATTGATGTTGTACTTTTCAGGCATCCTTCCTCATCAGTTATAGTTCCTGCTTTACGTGCAGTTGGTAATATTGTCACTGGAGATGACATGCAAACTCAGGTATGAGTAATAGGTTTGCACACACAATGGAAATTCTATTTACTTCTGAACAATGGGTGGCTATTTGATGTTGACCTCATTTAATGTAGCTTACCTACATGGTTTGGTTTGTAATTTGGGTTAGAGGTCTCAAATTTGTTAATGGTTAGAGGCTAAGAGCCATTGGTTGTTTGGAGTCTCTGTTCCTTAAAGATATTACTGATACATATGTCATTTAGGGAATTGGTAATTAGCAATCATTCCTACACTTGTCATGTCACTTAAATGTATTTTGCATTTAGAAATTAGCAATTGTGCTTTTACACTTACTGTGTTACTGAAAGCTTGTCTGGTATTTGCTATTTTAGAATAATAATAATAATCCTTCTTTGAATTTTTAATCTTCTTGGTTATGTGTTGTGAACATACTTGAAAGGTATTGTTTAAACTAACAAATTGTGATATGTTTTTTTTTTTTTTTTAATAGCATATTATTGATAATCAAGGGCTGCACCGACTTTCTACATTATTAACTGGCAATTACAAGAAAAGTATTAAGAAGGAAGCTTGCTGGACTATTTCAAACATCACTGCTGGCAACACTGTGCAAATCCAGGCAAGCAACTAAACCTTTAGTGTTCTGGTCTTTCCTGTAACTCTACTTCCCTTGCAATGATAAATCAAACGAAGTGTGAAAATAATAATCTGTGCTTGAATTAATTATTCTAACATTTATTATGCAGGCTGTGATTGAAGCCAATATATTTGGACCTCTTATTAATTTGCTTCAAAATGGCGAGTTTGATATAAAAAAAGAAGCTGCTTGGGCAATATCAAATGCCACATCTGGTGGCAGTCATGATCAGATCAAGTAGGCCAATATGTGCTAAATTTATGCTGAAATCTGTCACACATCAATTTGTTTGTTTATTTATATATATATATATATGAATATTTTTTTTTTCTTCCCCCCACATGAATAGGTACCTTGTATCTCAAGGATGTATCAAGCCATTGTGTGATCTCCTTGTTTGTCCTGATCCAAGAATTGTGACGGTCTGTCTAGAAGGACTTGAAAATATTTTAAAGGTTGGTGAAGCGGAGAAGAATATGGGCCGGACTGGGGATGTAAATCTGCATGCTCAGATGGTAGAAGATGCGGAAGGTTTGGAAAAAATTGAGAACCTTCAAAGTCATGACAATCATGAGATTTATGAGAAGGTTGTAAAGATATTAGAGGTATACTGGTTAGAGGAAGAGGATGAGTCAATGCCACCAGGTAACAATGCATCATCCGAACAGGGATTCCAGTTTGCGAATGGAAACGTAGATTTACCGAATGGTGGATTCAACTTTAACTAGGTGAGTCAAAGTGTGTTTATAAGTTGTAGCTATTACTTGATGGTGGGTAAATCCTATCTTGTGACCCAGGTAGTTTAGGGTTGCCTCTATAACTGATTGGTTCAAACCAAGAAGGCTAGGATTCAAGCTTATAAACTTGTGATTACAAGTTTGTATCTTAAGTCATTTTGATTCGGTTACCCTTGTTATCAAGTTTCATTATGCAATGAGGAGCTTATGTGAATTCATATTTTTTGTGTAGGTTGCAACTGTTCTTCTATTGTGTAGTGTTTGAAAAGAGATGAGATGTTGTTCCCACAGCGAGAGAACAAACCGGAGGAGGCTGCCACATCACTGAAATAACAAAATCAATTCTCATTGTTCTTTTTTCAGTAGTGGAATTCTGTTTTATTTTCATTTTCAGTATTGCTGGGAATTTTGGCATTCTCAACTCTTTGATTTCCCCCCTAGCTTGTACTAAACTTATGGTGGAAAGGGATTCACCTATTTTTATCTATTAATTTCTATTTTATACCGCAACTCATATGCTAATTCGGTAATTCCTCAATCTTGCAAACAATGTTGGTATGAAATTCCTCAATCTTGCAAATAATGTTAGTTTGAAATTTTGAGTTATAATTAGTAGAGTTATATTTTCGAATGTGAGTTTACCTCCCAAATTTTATACTATTATTTCTATCTCAATCAAGCCTCTATCCACGGTGGAAAACGATCTCAATCGTGTCCGGAGTATTCTGGCCGAGTTGCGTCAAAGTGTCGTGACTTTGTCTCCGTCAGAGATTCATAGCCTCCATGCCGGCGACGATGAATCCTAACCGGCCATTGAAGTCTCCAACACTCAGCAACAACATCGCCATCCTCAGATCATAGATCTGCGACCTCCTATGATCACTGCAACCGTATGTCAACCGTCATCCATGGCGGTTTTTTTGTCGACGACGGTTTTGCAAGTGCAATCAGAGGGGTTTGTAGGTCTCCGAAGCCAATCCGTCCATGGCTGGCGATGGCACTTAGAAAGACATAATGCAACCATTAATCACCTAACCGTTACATAATCAATACTAATAATGGCCACATTAAATATATTATTTATAACACTCCTCCTTGGACATTATTTGGCCATGACCTTGCCTCTTACTTTCTCTCTTGACTTGTCTCTTACTTCTTCTTTCTGCAATTCCTTTGATGGTTTGAGTTAATGGGTTACAACAAAATCAAACCATTAAAAAATTTCATTCTTCAAATCAAACGGGTTGTAAATGTTTTTTATATTTAGGAACATCTTAATTTAGATTAATTTCAGGAATGACCTATTGTCTATTGTCATTTACTAATTGAGTTAATTTTTAAAATGGTCCTTTGATTATAGCCTTTTCTCAAATTGCTTTGATTTTTAATTGCGCCTAAAGTGTTCCTCCGACTATTAAATTTTAAGTCAAAATGGCCCGCCGTTAAAAAGAAAGGCAATTCAAACAATTTATATAGTTTGTTGTTTAGACCTTTGACAAGCTCATTTTTTTTTTTTTTTTAAAAAAAAAAAAAATTTAACCAGTTGATTTCTTCCCAGCTTCTTTTTCAGGAATCTCATGATCATCTTCCTTGGGCGCAGGCGTAATTTCTAGTTTTATTGAAAAGACGATAAAGAATGAAGAGTTAGTTCACATAATGTTACCAACTCCCACAGACATTGTGGATCAGGACATTGCAAGAAATGGAAATCACAACTTAAATAGCACTTTCTTTTCTAAAACTATAGTGATGAACAGAAATGTGTAAACACACACATTGGTTTAAACAATCGCTTGCCAAACTTAACATTAACAACACGTTTGGTTCACGGAATGAATTTTGAGGTAATAGGAATACTATTCCATAAGGAATGGAATAGGCAAGGAATAGAATAGGAATTGTATTCTATTGTTTGGTTCGCGGAAGGAATAGACTTTAGGAATTATATTACAGTGTTTGGTTGATTTAAGGAATAGAAATGAAATATGTTTTAAAAGACATAAATACCCTTATAAAAATATGTGATGGTGGTGGTGGTGGTGGTGGTGATGCTGGGGTGGTAGTGGTGGTGGTGGCGGTGGCAGTGGTGGGGGCGACGGTAGGGGTGTTGAGGGTGACGGTTGTGGCAGTGGTGGTGGGGGCAGCGACAGTTGTGGCGGTGGTGGTGGTGGTGGCGGCGGTGCTGCTGCTGGGTGGTGGTGGTAGCGGCGGCGGCGATGGCGGTGGTGGCAGTGGCGGTGGTGGTAGTGGTGGTGGCGGCGGTGGCAGTGGTGGTGGCGGCGTGGTGGGGGCGGCGATGGTGGTGGTGGTGGTAGTGGCGGCAGCAGCGGCGGTGATGGTGGTGGCGGCGACGGTGATGGTGGTGGTGGCGGGGGCGACGATAGTGGTGGTGGTTGTGGTGGCGGCGGCGGCGATGGTGGTGGTGGCGACGACGGTGGTGAAATAGTATAAATTTATATATATGATAAAAAAATTAGGTTAAAGAAAGGGGTAAAAAAGGAATCGGAATATGGGTATCAAATACTTGGTAATGGTAATGAGTTTTGGTTAAAATATTTAACATGTTTGGTAGTCGGGTGGAATGAGAATGGTTACTAATAGTAGTGCTTGAGAATGAATAAGGGAATGAAACCCTTAGGGGTCGTTTGGTTCACGGAATGTCAGATTACCTTAGGAAATGTTAGATTGCTTGGAATGTTAGATTACTGGAATGTTAGATTCCTGTGTTTGGTTAAAATTGGAATATGTAATATAATCATGTTTGGTTTAGGGTTATCTTTTATTCACATACTATAATATCCTTAACATATTTTCATATATTTTAATAAATTTAAAAATTAAAATAAATAAATAAGATAACGGTATCATATATAATTACATGATTTTAAAATATTAACTGAAATATTGAACTTGAGAAACAAAATTATTTTATATGCTAACCTAACATAATAAAAATAAAAAATATAATTACAAAAATAATTTTATATATGTGTGTGTGTGTGTGTAATAAACTAACATAATCAAGGTTATCTTACATAACCTTAGAAATTGAAGGGAATCACATTCCCTTCAAAATCCTATGTGGAGGGAATGTGACATTCCTGGGGAATGTTAGATTCCCTGAGATAATATTAACCAAACATAGGAATGTGAGCTTTGGAATGTCACATTCCCTTGGTTATGTTATATAACCTGAACCAAACGCCCCCTTATTGTATTTGGGTATGAGTTTTTCAATTGATGGGGTATTCGAAACCCATAATAGTGTTCTAAAAACCTATCAACCAAACAACAACAATCACTTTCATACTCATTTCTATGGGCGAAACCCACCAACCAAACACACCCTAAATATAATCATATCAGTAGCCAACACCTAAAGCCTATCTTAGTATCTTCTACAAGTTCTTAAATAAATGCTTAAAAAGCAGGAATGCAAACCGAAAGTCAAATGACATACCATCACCGGTCAAGTTATTATTATTATTATTATTATTATTATTATTATTATTAAGGGCAGGTCAAATGCCTAAACAACAAACAATATAAATTGTCTGTTTTGTACTTCTTTTTAACCGCAGGTTAACGCCAAAGCTAACGGATGATAATTTTGATTTTTTAAAAATTCAATAGTTGAATGACCACTTTGGATGCAATTTAAAGTCAAGGAACCAATTTTAAAAAATAATATAATCGGAGGACCATTTTAGAAATTAACTCTTTACTAATTTTTATGCTTCGACTTTCAATTGGACCATAAATGGTCCCTTAACTATTGATCTTTACTAATTTTTGTTCTTTAGTTCTTTAAAATGATGACCTCAATCTATTAAATTTATGAACTCAATTTGTCTATCCCAACAACAAGCTAATTTTTACATTATCATTCTTAAATTTAATATTTATTAAATAGATATTTAACTGAAGAACCAAATTTAGAACAAAATCAATAGTCAAGAGACCATTTATGGTCATATTGAAATTCAAGGACGAAAATTGATAAAGGCCCTGTTTGGTAAATAACTGTTAGCTGATAGTTGATTGTGTTAATTAGAGGGTATAACTAATTGATTACATTAGCTGTTAGTTGTTTGGTATAATTTCTTTTTTCAAAAAACTAATTGAAAAAGTTGTTTGGAGTAACTTTTTGAATTTTAACATTTTAGAGTTGCAAAAAATTAATTAACCAAACACTTATATTAATATTTTAACTAAATCAAATAATTAATAGTGATCAAATAAGTTAAAATTTACTAATAAGTCAAATTTTTTACCAAATAGCCAATAGTATTCCCCTCCCCATGAAAAATGGCAATTCTAGATCTTCATTACCCTTGGCTCTTCGTGTTCGGAATCCTAGGTAAATTCTGTTTTTTTTTTTTTTTTTTTTAATACTTTCTCTCTCTTCTCTTTTTGTTCCAAAATGATGTCTGATCCGCAGGTATACCATATATATATATATATATATATATATATATATATCATTAACATGCTTCTTGTGGATGGGGGATGGAATTCGACAGGAGTTTCTCAATCAAGTCCACGTACGAGATGATTGCGAATGAAACGGCGTTTGTAGCGGATAATGAGTGGGGCAAAACTTGGAAGCTCCGTGTTCCGGCTAAATTGAGCATGTTCTTTTGACTGGTGAAACATGAGAAGATCCTCACCAACTACGAATGAGTGAGACAAGATTTCGTTGTGCAGGTTAGGTGGAAGATTTGGATCACCTCTTTCGGCACTGCTCTGTCGCGAGGAAAATTTGGGACTCAATCCTGCACCGGCGAACATCGGAGAGAGGCTGCGTCTGCTGGACTGGAAGGACTGGCTATCGGCGAACCTTAAAGGCGACGTGTTGGCCAGCTTTGACGAAGGATGGCTGGAGAGATTCAGTATCAGGCTTTGGTGGCTGTGGCGCTGGAGGAACGACGAGGTGTTCAACTCCAGTTCTATGGCGCACGACCAAAAGATGGAGTGGCTGAAGCGCCATGACTCGGAGGTTCGGGCTGCGTTCGCTACTCGGAGAAATCCGATGGCAAAGAACATGCCGGTTGTGGGAACCATATAGGGTGGCAACAGCCGACAAGCGGCTAGCTTAAGCTTAATGTGGATGGCTGCTGCAAACATAATGGTGTAGCAGGTTATGGTGGTGTGTTAAGAGATTTGCAGGGAAGATGGTGCACGGGCTTTACGTATAACATAGGCAGATGCTCGGCCGATGAAGTGGAAGCCTGGGGGATTCTATAGGGAATTAAGTCGGCGAAAATTTTTGGTGCAACTAAGCTTTTGGTGGAATACGACTCCAAGCACATTTTGGAGAGTTTGCGAGGGGAATATAAAGGATGCGGCTACGGCAACAACGTAATCTGGCACTGCATCCGAGAAGCCGATAGTGTGCAAGAGGTGCGTTTCAAGCATGTGTACATGGAGCAAAACAGAGCGTCTGATAAGCTGGCCTTGATGGCTTTGGAGCATCGCATAGGTCTCAGAACCCTTGTGGAGGTACCATA